CAAATTATTTAATTATTAAATTTATAGTCGTTCATATATGAAAGTATTAAATCGATTTCAGTTTTTATTGTTAATTACGATTTATTAACAGTTTGATTTCAAATCGTAATTGTCAGTTATTTTAATTATTATTAAGTTTTTTTATATTTCTATTATTTTTTTCATTTATGCTATGCGATATTTAATTGTCAAGGTCATTGCTAATGCTAAAACCATTTACTAAAATTTATAAAACTTTTTTGTCTCCCAACACAAACGTTTTTACTATAAATGTGTCATGTAATTAGTAATTAAAATCTAAAGAATTGTAAAACTAATTAAAATGGAAAATTGTATTTGTAACAGTTCTAATAAAAACAACAAAAATTTTGTTTATTTTCTAACAGCTGTTTTAGGTTATTTTTTTCTGTTTAAAATTAAAAGTCAGTTTCAATTTTCTAAGCAGCTCAATAACACTTAAAAGGGTATTTATAAAACCATTAAAAGGTTGTTTGTCAGTTAATTAACTAGAATTAAAAAGTAGTTCTAAGCTGAACATGGTGCACAATTATTTAATAATTTTATATATTTTTTTTTTGTTATAAAAAAGTGTGCTACAATTAATCAGGAATATTATTAACAACCACACCATAACGATAAAAATAAAATTCCAAAAATTTTTTTCCTCTTCTTTGATTTGCCACTATTAGGCACTATGAGTAGGTTAGTTTGTTTCAGTTCTTGTTTATGGAAATATTTATCTATTTCTATTGGCAAAATTTTAAATTTTTTCATATTTTCGAATATTTTTTTTTATTTTCAAATTTTTTTATAATTAAAAAAATATTCGAATTTCGCTTAATTTATGTATTTTCAATATTCACTCAATGTACCATTTAATAAAATATTTCATGAAATCTTAAGAAATGCATTTTCCAGTCATTATTAATGTTGACCCATAGTGCTTTATATAGTTTTTGTACCCTTCACCTTCGTGAGAAGGGTATATATAGGTTTGTCATTCCGTTTGTAATTTCTGTAATATAATTATCCGACCTATAAAGTATAAACATATATTTCGACTCCTTATAGATAGCGGAGTCGATTAAGCTATGTCCGTCTGTCTGTCTATATGTTTGTTGAAATCAATTTTCTGAAGACCCCAAATATCTTGGGGATCCAAATCTTCAACAATTTTGTCAAACATACTTTCGGGAAGTTTCCTATTTAAAATCAGCAAAATCGATTCTTAAATAATAGAGATATGAGCAAAAATCCTAGACAACTTCTGAAAAATTCATCAAAAATTTTGATTTTTCGTGCATGCGGAGACAAAAATAATAAACAAACAAAAACAACACACATAATCATACGGTAAATTTTGTTATTGGATTGATTGTTTATAAAAAAAGGCAAAGTAAGAAAAACACGCTATGAATGTTATTAGATAATTTCGTATATGGAGCCCGGATTAAGTGAGAACCTATAAAAGGGGACTTTTTGGTACTTTTCCGTTCTTCAAAGGGTACTTTTTTTAACATAAATAGTGAGCTTACCACGTTTGTTAACATTTAGACAACGGATGTGCATAAAGTTTAGATTGCGACAACGAATTCGTGCAATGTTGACAAAATTGCGTGGTCTACATTACATGTTGTTGTTGTATGTATGTATGAACTTGACAACGGATGTTATTAAAAAATTTGGTGTCAATTTGGTACCAGGCGTTTTTTTCTGTGTAGGGCCCAAATTAGGTGAGAACATATAAAAGGGGACTTTTTGGTATTTTTTCGTTCTACAAAAGGTACTTTTTGAATTCTCTATAATATTGATCATAGAAACATGAAATTTAGCATGTAGAGCCCGGATTAAGTGAGAACACGTTAAAGGGGACTTTTTGGTACTTTTTCGTTCTACACAAGGTACTTTTTGAATTCTCTATAATATTGAACCTAGAAACATGAAATTTTGCATGTAGGGCCCGGATTAAGTGAGAACATATAAAAGAGGACTTTTTGGTACTTTTTCGCTCTACAAAAGGTAGTTTTTGAATTTTCTATAATATTGAACATAGAAACAAGAAATTTAGCATATATTGTCCGATTTACGTAAGAACCTATAAAAGGGGACTTTTTGGTACTTTCTCATTTTACAAAAGATACTTTTGAATTTTCTATGAAATTAGGCATGTAGAACCCGGATTAGGTGAGAACACATAAAAGGGAGTTTTTGGTACTTTTTAGTTCTACAAAAGCATTTTTTTTAATTCTCTATAATATTGAACCTACAAACATAAAATTTAGCATGATTAATTTAGCAGGATTAAGTGAGAACCTATAAAAGGGGACTTTTTGGTACTTTTTATTTCAACAAAAGGTACTTTTTGAATTTTCTATAATATTAAACCTAAAAACATGAAATTAAATATTTAGAGTCCGGATTAAGTGAGAACACATAAAAAAGGACTTTTTGGTTTTTTTTTTTTTTTTTTTTTTTGATTTTTGTAATAATTTTTTGTACTGACTATTTTGTCAACACATTATGGTGAAGGGTATATAAGATTCGGCACAGCTGAATATAGAACTCTTACTTGTTATTATTACAATTAAAAAATGTTGATTTTTATACGTAAATAACTTTTGTAAAGTGCCAGTAAATAAGTTCTATATGATTTAGTTATTTTTTTTTTTCTAAGTATTTGTCTCGTGTTTTAATTGTAAGTTTTCAAACGAATATTAAGATCAAACAATACTTACAAAAACAACCATTGTTGTCCAAGGGGCCATAAACAAAAACTATAAGAGTCTTGTTGGTCTTGGCTTTGTTACTGAGGGTGTTGGCTTAGTTTTTTTTTTTTTTTTAATAAATACATATTTATAATTTTATAGATTTTACATAAACAGTAGTGGACATTTGTTGATGTTGTTGATCTAAAAGTTATTTAATTTAATATTAATTCAAACTTAATGAAAACTTTTTATTAATATCTATTTAATCTTATGTAAAAAGATTTAGATTAAGAACCCACAACTACCAAACACATGTTTAATTTATACCAAATTTATTTATCATTCATTCTTATACGTTTTTTCTTTAAATCGGATTATAATGAATTGAAATAATGATTGTGACTTGCTAGGGCGCCGCTTTATTTCAAGATCAAGTGTACAGTTGATTTTTGTTCTTTTATGGGTTCCCTTCCTCTTTTTTTTATAAAATTAATTGTTTACGGTTATTGTTTCGTTGCCAAATATAAGAATATTAATTATTTTATAAATGTTTTTAGTTTTAATCATTTTCAACTGTTTTTTGTTTTCCAACTTTAGGGAGGTGTAAAAGTTGCCATTTAAGGTGTGTTTTATTAATTTTTTTCTTCATTTAAATTAAATCACCACAATCACAGTATTATTGATAAATAGCAATAACTATGATTAATTATTATTTTTGTATTTAATAGTTTTTCTTGTGTTAATGTGTAATTATAAGATTATTACTTAATTATTGTTTTGGGGGAGATTTGGATGGAAGAAAGAAGTTTATAAAAGAACAAAATCGTAACCTTAATTGAAACATATAAAACTTATCTATGGACAAATACATATGTGGGCTCTAGCATATGGATTAGATTATTGACAAGTCTATGAACTACTGTATGGACCAGTCTATTGGTTAGTCTATGAAATAGACCATTGATTAGTCAATTGACTTGACTATTAATTAGTCTATAGAATAGTCTTTTGATGAATATGCTGTCTAGTCTATGGACTAGTTTGTTGTCTGTTGATTAGTTCATGCACTGGTCTGTTATCTAGTATATTGACTAGTCTGTTGTCTAGACTATTAACTAGTTCATTGACTACTCTATGAACTAGGCTATTGATTGGTATGTTGACTATTATGTTGACTAGACTGTCGACTAGTTGAAGGATTAGCCTATTTTCTAGGATATCGTTTAGACAATTGATTAGTCTATAGACTAGACTATTGTTAGCCTATGGACTAAACCATTGTTAGTCTATGGACTTGTCTCTTGATTAGTCCACTGTCTACTCTGTTGACTAGTGTATGGGTTAGTCTATTCTATAGACTAGTCTGCTGACAAGTCTGTGCATTAGTTTGTTGTCTGTTGATTAGTTATTGGACTATTTTATTGGCTAGGCTATTGATTAGTCTATAGACTAGCCTGTTGACTAGTCTATGGCCGAAACTATTAACTATTTAGTTAGCTAGTCTGTCAATTAGTTGAATAACTAGAATATCGTTTAGACTATTGAAAAATCTACTTACTAGTCCAGAGTCTAATCTATTGACTACTCTCATGCCTTAATTAAAATAATAACATTTATTTTTAAAATTTGTGCTTTTTACTAAGTGACAACAAACTAATTCTGACTAATTGAAAAACTTTTTCTTAAACGCCTTAAATTAATTGTTAATAATAAAAGAAACTATGGTTTTTATTAAAAAGCTTAAATACACCTCATATGAAAGTAAAGTCATGGTTTATACATAAATATGTATTTTAAAGGTGTGGTCCATTTTAAAACGACTAGATTAAAGAACTATTTGTTGTTGTTTATGGGCAAATGTTAAGAACCACATAAAATACAAATGCTCTACTTAATATTTATATAATTTTTATTACTATTATTATTATTGTTGTCAGAAGGTTTGGTCAATTTAAAAATGAATTATTTAAAACACAGTGTATCGTTTCCTATAATAAATTAAACAACTAAGAGTAAGACTTTTAAATTAAATTCTTAACCATTTAAGTTTAAACTCTTTTAAATCTCCTTACATAAAAATAACTCAAACTTTTACTAAATCATTTGCTATAAAATCTCCTTATAAAAACTGACAAATTAATAACAAAATAACATTTAAGGGCGTATGTTGATGTGTTTATGCAAAATGTTAATTATTTCTTTTAATAAAAATAATAAATTATTAGTAATTTATATAAATTTAATTAATCTTTCATCAGGTTGCATTGAAATCTTAAACATTTATTTTCATTTCAATTAATTTATCTCGCTTTATTTAATTTAAATATTTATATTATATAAAAAAACTGAACTGAATAAATTGAGACTAAACAAAAAAAAAGCTTATTTTTTTGTAAGTAAATAAAACTAATTACAAGACATAAATTTTACATGTATAAAAGAAATAGAAAAAATAAAAGTAAACAAAATCATAGAAAAACGTAAAATTCTTGCGTATTTAATAAAATTTCATTAAAACTTTAATAGAAATAATTATTTAAGTTAATTCAATTTGAAATAGTAAAAATTAATTTAAACTAGGATATAAATTCAAAATCATCATCGGAACCTTCGTTATCATCACAGCAAGTACGTCGTTTGGCCTCCACAGATGAGTGATTAACATTTTCGAAATCTAAGTAGAAAAGAAATTAGAATTAAAAATTTGAGATTATTGTTCTACAAATATAATTTGGTTTAATTAATTATAATCTAAAGACTATATAAAACTAAAACTAAAAAAAGAAAAACCTTCTGTATCACCACAACTTATAGTTCGTGCCGAACTATAACTTATTAAATCATCTGATGAAGTTGTTGTGTATGTAATATAGGAAGTATTTAAATCACTGGCAACTTCTTCATAAGAATTATAACAGTGTTCTGTTGTATCTGTATCTCTATCTGTTACAGTGTCTAGACAGTTGTTGGAGTCAAGAGAAGGATAGTGATATGTGGTATTAGTAGAAGCCGTTATACCTGTCATGCTCGACACCCATTCCGGTGAACGAGTTTTAGTGATTTCAAATAATGGTTGAGTGCTGGCTGTTAGCACTTGATTTTTTAAGTTCTCCAATAGAATATCAAATGACATACGAGATTTACAAAGGAAACACTAGAAATAAAAATATTAAAAATATTATGATAAAGCAATGTTTTGTAAAGTTAACATACCACAGCCAACGACGGATCCATTTGGGTAAATTGTATTCTACCCGCATATTTCTGATGAAATGTTTCATCGAAATCAATCTCATCTTGTGTAGTTTTCTGACCCACTCCTCCAGATCTTTGTGTTGTGTGAGGATCCAAAAATAAAACTTCATCATCCACATAGCCCAGAAAATAAAGAGCCTGATTTGGTCTTCCACCAATCATGCCACAATTTCCCACCAGCTCAAAGCATTTCTTTAAAGCGGGTATATAAATGGGATTAATGTCACTTAGTCCCAGGCGTAGGGGTAGTATAAGTAACAAAGGTTTCCACGATTCATCATTTTTGGGATTAGTCAAACAGAGTGAAACTGTAAATGTATAATGGCGAAAAAGGTAAATTTTAATTAATTTATTGTTTGGCAAAGAAACTTACTAATGTCATCTATGACGATAGTATTGTCCATAGCTACATGAATCATTAGACTGCACCAGTCATCGTAACGAACTAATTTTCTGCAAGTGGAAATAATCAGAAAGATTTGAAAATTAATATAAAATAATTAAAATTCAAGTAAATCCGTGTGTCCTGCAATAGGTTTTCTAAAATCTTAGAATACCTTAACATCATATACTTCTACAGATCTATCGGATATATTTACGAGAATCTAGAAGTTGAATAAACATTTTTACTAGTAATTTAATTTTTAATGAAGTCGGATTTCAAAAATCATTTTTTTTTTTTTTTGTAAAAAAATCAAATTTATGGTAAAATAGAACATTTAGTACAAAATAATTTTTTTGTTGAAATATCTGATTATTTAGATCTAATCTATAATTTTTAATGCAAAATTAATTATTAATCATCGTGTTTAATACTTAAATTTTATTGAAAAACTCGATTTCCAAAAAATGTCTTCCATGTTAAGGAATTTTTATTAAATTTTAAAATTTTGTACAAATTTACATAAATAACAGTTTTTACTTACTTGAGCACTTGTGCCACAGTATTCGGACCAAACCATTGGCCCACCTTCTTATCCTCCGAATCTCCCATTAAGGCAATTTGATGTATGGAAAAATAACTTTTCCTAGAGTCTTCGAAACGATTAACAATTTTCAAATATGTTGAATCTCTTGTTTCAGTTGTCCAAAACCAATCACGGCCCAAATGCAAATCGATGAGTGCTTGAGCCAAAACCATTTGGCCACAACGCAACATGCAGCCCCAACCTTTATCGGTAGTCAACTGTGGTTCGCCGAGGGGTACAAAACCCCGGCGATATGTACACCAAAGACGGGACTGAACATCGCGACGTATTAGTTCCAACTCTTGTATGGCATTATAACTTTTACCCAAAATCCATACAGTGGTATTAACTTTGGGTATATCATCGGGTTCACCGGTGGCACCGGCCACAGCACCAACTACTGCACCGGCTAAAACGCCATCCGGACCTAAGTATGCTTCAAACACACTGTCCATTTTGCGTGAAACATTAGTGTAGAAATCTATGAATTGATCAATATTGGCGATGCACTGTAGTCTCAAGTAATAAAGTCGACGGCTACGACGATAGAGGTCTTCGGGATGTGTCTTGAACCAAGGTAAGTGAGCCAGTATGTGTAGTGTCGTTACCAACAGTAGTAGTAAAACACTGCCACCAATAGCCCAGTAGCTGTTATTGTTGAAAATCAACAACAAACAGCTGGACCAAATTTCTTGTAATCTAGCAATAATCTTGCTAAATTTAATCTCTCTCTCTAGACAGCAGAATTTCTATCACTAAAACATAATACAGATAAAATGATTTCTTATCAACAGAATACAAAACTAATAAACTAAATTTAACTCTAAAGAATGAGAAAAAAAACATTAATGAAAATTTGTTTACCTTCAAATTTTATTTTTGCTGGTTCTTCCTTAACAACTTGTTCTCAACTTCGTATTGTTTTCAAATCCACTCTTTCTCTTTCACACACCCGTTTTCACTCTCCTCTTATCCAAAAGTCTTGTTTTTTTTTTCTTTTCTTTTCCTTGTATTGTTTATGCCAATGTCATCATCACCAACACTAAAAATTTATTGCTTTTTTCATTTAGTTTTTCTGTGTATTTTCCTCAAATTATTTAATTTACTTTAATTATCCTCAAATGCTTTCACTTGTGGCAGTGCTGCAGCTTCAGTTTTTATTTGTTAATGTTCGTTTTAAATTGTTTAATTTAGGATTTAAAATGATTAAAAAATTCTCCGTCGTAGCAAAACAAAGAACTAAATGTTTTTGTTTTACATTTTTTTTTCATTTCTAATGACAACATAAATGTCAAAATTGAATAGGGTTGCCAAGGCTACATGTTCATGATTTTCATAGAAACAAAGTAAAAACGAAAAAGAGAAGAAAACGACAATTAATTTTAAAAATATAAGTAAATAAAACCAAAATAGTTTTAATTTTTATAATAAAATTTATTAAGGTGTGTAATATCCCTAATTAAATATTTATTCAACATATTTTTTCAATAAAAAGCTATAAAACTTTTTGAAATTTCCAAAATATTGCATTTAGAATAAATAAATATATTAAGAAGGTTTCGAATTTAAAAAATGTAAAATAAAAATTGGAATCCTTATGATTCGAAAATTTTTTAAACATTTTTCGAACATAAGTTTTTTAGATCCACATGATCTGAAAACGATTAATAGGGTAAAAAACAGAAATTCGAATGACGAACATATAAGCTAAAATAGCAAGTTAAATAAAGAAGTATTAACTATTTTTTTTGTTTTTCTTAATAAATTTGTTTATGTATTTATTGCATTCAAAGTTACTTTTATTCATGTCATAGTTAACTTACTTTTAAAAAAGTACAAAACTTATTATTCAAATCTACAAATTCATCATCCACTTCACCACTACTCAGCATATCAGCATTTGGATCTTGTAACTTAATATCTTGAGCAGCTTGTTTCCTCTCCAATTGACGTTTTTTCTTTAGAATCTTTTTACTTAATACCGTGTTCACTTTTTGATCTTTAGGTTGCTTCCAGGAAGGTATGAACCTTTCACACCATTGCCAAAAATACAAATAGCAATCAAACATCATTTGAGAATCTCTAAAAATGAAATTCTTTACATAGTAAATAATATCCAAACGACTTTTAAACAAGTCGTAGAGATTATATAAAAATACACCACAATACAATTGACCCATATGGGGTGCATCATAGGGAAAGTCGAGGAGAGCATTTAATGAATGCAATTGGAAGACTACGGATTGAAATTCGGCAAATGCATGTAGTACAGTGCTGGAGTAAAGATCGTATTTCTTCTTAAATATGTCCTGCATATGAAAATGTTTTAATAGTTCATTTTGCACTAAATAACAATCGGATTTTGGTACATATGACAAACGTTCTGGTATGGGTAGAGCTAATACCTCATCTTTAATCACACGTTTGGTGCCATTTGCTTCATCCTTGTCACGTACCTGACGTTCTTTTTTGATAATTTTTCCAAACTTTTTTTGAAAAGCTTTAACATCTCTTTCGGCGGGGATTTTAGAATCAATGGTTCTTAAAACAACCAAACAAACAATTAGAGCATGTATATGTACCACATCGTAGTTTTGACATTTATGTAGCCAATAAACAATGGCCATAAAATACAGCCTCAGATCCTGAGGAAGTTTCTCCAATTCAGCAAATAGCTCTTCTGGATTTAATTCAGGCATTCTCATCTCGAAAACTTCTCTCAAAAACAAAGGATTAGGATTTTCTGGTTCAAAATCATACTTAGGCTTCTCCTCCACCTCAACATGTTCATAGCGAATATTGGTGACTCGTGTAGCTCGTGTTAGGTATGTGAAATATAAGGAGCGTACAGTACCATCTTCCATAACTTTGGGTACAAATTCATTACCCTTGACATTATTTAATAGTGAATATATAAGAGTTAATATGGGTAGGGCTATACTATTGCATTCATTATAGGGAAAATGTTCTATTTGAGGATTATTTATATATTTGCGGAGATGCATTAAATCGACAAAGAAACGTGGTAAATTGGCGGGATATAATTTATTTAAAAACCATTGGGGAAATTTGGATATTATGTCATGAGTATCTTCATTTGATTCTTCATTTTCCGAGCCTTCAGAGTCAGAATTATTAGAATTTTCAATTTTATTGGCATCTTCTACATCTTCTTCAAGAGTTTCTTCAATTTTTTCTTTGTTATTATCGTGTTCCTCTTCAATATTAGAAGCATATTCCTCTTCGTCTTCCTCTTCAATATTAGAATCATTATCTTCTTCATCCCCCTCCTCTCCAGATACTTCTTCCTCCTCAGACTCATCTTCTTCTTCGTATTCTTCCTCATCAGTTTCATAGATTTCTTCCTCAGTTTCAATAAAATCTTCAAATATATTTTCATAATGACTGATGAAAAAATCATACGAACGACATTTTTCATTGGAGTAACCACTCGTAGCAGCTTCCATTTGAGCCATTAAAGACTCACGTTGATGCTGAAAATTTGCAAATAATTATTAAGGATAATTTTATTCTAATATCTAATTTTACTTACTGTTCTTAATCTTGTCATGATTTTTTCTAAAGCCGATTCTGCTGTCTCAGTTTTCAACCACTGGAGTATAACTTTTATTCTACGTTGCTGCTGCTTCGTTTTTCGACTCCTACCAACTTTACCCATACCCGATTGGAAAAAGTTTTTGAAACACGAACGCGATATATAATCATTACCCAACATGGCTGCAAATAGTGGTAATTTTTCCTTGCTCAATGAACCTCTCGCAATTAAATTCTCGATGCGATACATGCAGCAGTCTAAATATTTGTAGGTTTTACCTTTTTTAGGCTTTTCCTTATTATCAACTACAATAGAATCCATTACATGGTTACCCCTAGTGCGTTTATCCACCTTTTTTGCTTCATTTTTTCTCAGCTTGCGTGTGTTTTCTTCGGGATTTTCCACTAGATTACTTTTACAAAGTTTTGTATGAGCCTTAACCGTTAGTGTGATCAAGGGAATATACTTTACATTGTGTATATAAAAATCGGAATCGTAACTCAACACCGGACAATTCAACTTGCGCGCCAAAGCGGCCAATTCATCATCGGCCTCAAAAACACAACGCATCACGGGCACGCCACAATCTTTGACTGCATCCACAAAAACTTCTTTCATCATTACCGGAAATACGGTAATGGAGGCACAGGGATTAATACGTTTTATCACGGATATTTTGCCTCTCATACGTTTACCCACTGTGCGTAATTTACGCATCTCATAGCCACCATCCATTAGCACATATGGCTTGATATTACATTCACCTAGGACCACAAAGAAATTTACCACAGCCCTGTAGAATTCATCATAATCACCACCAAAAGCAGAATAGTTGCCGGCCACATCCCTGTACAAGTTACAGGCCAAATTGTCTCCATCTATTACTAGATTGCAGTCATGTAATTCGTAGGGTGTCAAATACAATTCCGCATGTCTGGCTATAAAACCCGTTAACCCTCGCACACCCATTTTGTTAAAAAATAATAAATTATTTCCACAGTTTTTATTTAAAAGTTAAACAAAAATATACTAGCCTACATGTGCTTATAAAAAATTACAAACTTGTTATGAATGTGAGAAATACAGAAAATGTCAAAATTCATTGTAAATAACTAAATCAGTGTTGTCAATGCTGAAAAGATTGTTAATAAAATATTAAGTAACAAAATACTTTTTTTGTTGTAAATTGTTAAGTTACAAATTTACTTTCTGTTTTAATAATAATATTTAATCTAATTTAAGCTTTGAGTGTTTCCTTTCAAATAATATTGACCACAAATCGATACATTTTTGAAAAATGTAGATTTTGTTGAACATTTTATTTAAAAAAATCTTATTTTTCACATTAGCACTTAAAGGATTAATGAAATTTATTATATTATATACGCTGAAAGGTCTGAAATAAGAGCAAGAAAAAATTCGTTAACAAAAAATCAATTAAAATATTATGTGTCTTGTTTTCGAATTTCGAGGATTAATTTTATAGGTTTTTTCTACATAAAAATTTTAGTTTTCAAATGTTAATCGCCAAAATTTTTTTACTTTTAATTTTGACTTTCAATATTTGTGTTAAAAATATAATGCTGCGATGTTGAAAAACGTTTGTTTTTTATAATTTTTTCAATAGCCAGAGGCATTATTACTTAACTAAATTTTGTGATTAGTTGTTTGATTATATGTATTCTTATTAGATTTGTTAGTCTAGATAAAATATTAAACTTCGACCTTTTTCAACAAAAACCATAATAAAACAATAATAAGTTAGAATTAGTAAAAAAGTGTGTTCTCAAAAAAGAAAATTAAAAAATATGAAAAAAACATCAAATAAAAATTTTTGAAATTTTTTTTTGTGAAGAAAATAAAATTTGAATAAAAAAAATCGCAAAACCAATAAAAATCAAAAACAGTACACAGAAGTATGGAATGCTGTTTGCGTGTGCCATTCAAGAATCTTTTCAAGGTATTTTTCGTGGTTTTTCATTTGAAGATTTTAAAGTTTTTCTCTTTTCAGTTCTTTTTTGTCTTAATTTTAAGAAACTTAATTAAAATTTCTCAATAGTCCGTAAGTAGTCTGGCATCTCTTTATAAAATTACAATTTTACTTATCGTCTTGTTTTTATTATACATATTCGTTAAAGTGTCATCGCTAATTGACAGTGCTGCTCACTCTACGCTACGGAAATCATAAACCTATACTGTTACTCTACTACTGATTCTTGCAAAACTAATACAAACTTTTTAGAAAAAACGAATCAATTATTAAATGTTAAAAATTACTTTTAAATTTTTAATTAATAAATGTGTTAAATTTCATTAAATTTTCAATTAAAAAACCAAACTGCAGAAAATCGCCTAATATAATGCATTTTAAAAACGCTACATTTTATTAGTTCCCCAATATAGACAACACTGTTTCTTGCAATTACACGACTTCTTCATTCGTCGTTGAGTATTTGTAGAAATTAGTGCGTGTCGCGGAAAGCCGAAGTGTATTTTAAAGCTTTGAGAAAAATAAGAGCAAAGAAAAACTGGAAAATGTATTAAAATCCCTTAAAATATTTAAAATAAATAGACAAATAATAGTGCCTTTAAAATAAACATCTTATTAAATAAATAAGAAAATCCTTTAACGCAGTTAAAAATATTGGAGAATGAAAAAAAATTATGAATTAAGTGAAAAAGTAGTGTGGAATAAACATAAATGTGTTTTATTTAAAGCTAAAAGTATTAAATATTTTGCAAGAAATAATAATAAATTTAATCTATTTCTGGAATGATTTAAATATATTTTTCAAGACTGAAATTTGAAAATCATAATAAAAAAAGAATTATTTGTACAATTTTTCATATTCGTTTTACTTGAATTGCTTAATTTCTTTTACCGTCTTCCGTCTTTCTACAAACCTTCTTCTTCATTCATTTAAACGTACAACAACAACAACAAGAGCGAAGAAGAAAAAAGCCATCCAACCAACAAAATCAACCAACCAACCTAAACCAGCCATTTTAGTGTATGCATGTTTTTGTGTGAGTGATTATATAGAAATACAAGAAGAAAAAAAAAGAAATACAAGAAAATCCACAAATAAAAAAATCATAAAATATACTAATAATACATAATTTGGTAATAAAGCACAGAAAAATTTGTTAAAACAATTGTATTAAATTCAAATAAAACAAAATTATTGAAAAATACGCAAAAAATAACAATAAAACTAGAATTTTGGTAAAAATTGTCACATTTTCTTTTTTTACTTTTGTGTACTTGTTCTTACTTTAAAAAGAAGACAGACAGAAAAAGAAGTAAAGAAAAATAAGAAACATAATAAAGTGTAAAGTGTGTGTATGTAAATTTTTGTTGTGTTTATTTCTTCTTGGTCTTCATTCATTCATTATTGAAAAAAGAAGAAAAACAAAAAGAAAAGAAAAAAATATAAAAAACGTCTCACTACTACAATTATAGTATACAAAAACAACAACAACAAAAAATACGAGTGCTGCTGCGTCTGTCATTCTCTTTTATTTTTTGTTTCTACAAAAAATTCTTCTAGTGGAGTTGTTTTTTCGTGTTCTTTCATTCTTTCTTAATCGTTACGACGTTACCGAGAGATTTTTTTTATTATAATTTTCACAATATTGTGGAAAAAATCGTATTTGAACGTTATTCGGTTATTCGCTGTTTGTACTTTTAATCTCGTCTCGTCTGAGGAGGATTTCGCGAGCTCCACACAACAGTTGTTCTTATGATTGGCAAAAAGCCGGTCAGGTTTTCGTAACAAATTCAGTTGCCTGTCGTGGTTATCCTTAGCAGGTGTTTCATTTGCGAATTTTCGACTGTGTTTTTAAAAGTGTGCTGCTGTGTGTGTACATGTTTTGGAGACTGCAGTATTTTATTTTTTTGCATAAACTGAAATAATTACAAATCAACCAATTTTTTGGATTAACACAAAGTTGGTTTTCGTGTGCTAAATTTGAAAAGAGGATTGATTGCTTTTTTTTTTCCAAAAGGTAAGTTTTGTGAAAAATATTTTTTTATTTAAACTGATAACATTTTGTTTTTTAAGTTTTCTAATTCTTATGGGAATAACTGTAAATTTATATTCTTTATTACCCATGGATAAAATAAGGTCTTATTACTTGGAATATGGGATCGATTTCAGATCTAAATTGTCATACTACGGGGAATTGTCACCAAAGGTGCCACACTAATCTTAAATACCTAAGTATGTATGTAGCTAGCTCGGAAATGAAATATTTGACCAAAGATTTCCAATTCAACTATAAATGTACACTCATATCAACGAAAGTTGTTGTTTCCATCAATAATTCGATTGGTTCCATTTTCGGATGCAAGTTGTTAAATTTTCTTTATAGGTATGTGCCTATTTCAATGGGATAAGTCTGTCTGTTTTTTTATTAATCGGAGGACAGGTTTTGATAATTTTGTACTTAGGCTTAAAACTTAACCATTTAAATAATACATACATAAGTATACATTTCAGTTGGTTATAGAAAAAACCATTTCAGACAATAGTATTCTGTAGCTAAGCTTGTTTCTTTCGGCTAGATTAACAACATCAAAACTTCCACTAGTATCAATCTCTTGGTAATGAATCCCTAAATTCTACATAACTCAACATCTGATCAACATAAACTATTGAGAAATTCTTATCAAATTCCTAGAATAAAAACCGTAGCATTTCGAATGAAAAATTTCCATTAAGTAACTTCCTGCTTCCCACACTTTTGCACCTCTACTACACTTTGCACAAAAAAGTAGGAAATAATGGAAAACAAGACAATGTGCAACCAAAATTTAAAAATTTGGCGCATTTTCCGGTACAAAAACAAAAAAGACACACTCAACCTTATAATGGGAAAAAATAACAGGTAAAATAAACCTGACTTTTTGGAAAATGACACTCACAAAATAAACACACACACGAAAAAATACACTAGATATATTGCTAGATTTGCCAAATAGATAATATCGATACAGAAATAAGAACATTTCAAAAATCTTGTTTGTTAACAAATAAATACTTTCGACAACCTGATGAAAATACTACAATTTCGGAAAATATTTGTTCTAAGCAAATCATCATTTAAAATTGTTGTTGAAATTTAAAATTGTTCCCATGCATACGTTTTTTTTTTATAAAAATTACACCCCTATTTCTAATTCCTATGAATTGTATGATTAGTGAGTAAGTAATAGGTAGCAGGAGTGTAACCATGTAAACCTACTAAATACATTTAATTTCACAAAAAATCCTAATGATTCTCGTTATAACATTTGAAACCACCCGCAAGGTTTCATACGTTTTTTGCATTTTCATGCTATTATTGCATTATTGTATAAAAAGGACCCTTAATTTGTTGTAATATAAGGAATCCATTTATTTTTCTAAACAATTTTTATTATTTTCTAAATTATAATAAATTGGCAAATGATTTCTTACTTACTACTATTATTCCATACTGCGATAAACGTTGAGAAAATTACTGCGTTTTTTGTTTAATTCGTTTTTGTTTTCTTTTAGTTTTGGCAGTATGTGAATGGAAGATGAAAATCACAATACCCATTTCATTTCCTGTGGAGTTATAAGAATAATTTAAATTGGTTGTGTATAGTTTGGTGGCCAAAAAACATTTTTGTGATTTTATGGTGCCTTTGAAATGAGGTTAAAAGTTCAATTTGTTTTTTTTTCTGTATTCAAATTCTAATACACACTCTAGTTATTCAACTGATATATAGAAATAATAATAATATTAACCCTTTAAGTATGCGAATACATTTTTCAATTATTTAAATGTGAGGAAAAAATTGATTACAATTCTGCATTATTTAATATTTTCAGATTTTTTCAACATTAAAGCTTTTAAATCATTAAAAATTTGACATACATTTTTATAAATTTGACTTTAGGGCTTAATCAATTTAAGGGTTGAAAGTTTTTTTGATTTTTTTCATTTATTTCATAACTACAGCCTCAATTTCAAATCTAATGTTTTGAGCTGCTTTCTAATACAATGAATTGATGAACAATTTAAATTTTTTTGAAATAAAGTTCTAA